ACAAGGTTTGAACGTGCTCCTTTTCCTTTGTATTTACACTTTCAATAATCTATTTTATTCAAGGTGTTTGTGGGGATGGGGTGGGATTGTGTTCATTAGCCCTTGTATATTTTAAACGGTCTCAGCAATTCTTTCATGTTTGTATAGATTTTTGATGCTGCATTCTTCGAATAACACACCAATGTTGATTCGACTCCATAAAGCCACAAAATAAACGAGGATTTTGCTCAAATTCAACTGAATTGTTCTATCTTGAAAGAATAAAAGTGGGTAGTATAGCTTCAATAATATTTACAAAGTCAGAGATGTGATATAAACACACTTAATTGAAGATGCAAAACCATACAGCAAATTTGAGTCCTATTTGACAGTTTTGCCAAATTGGAAATAAATTACAACTAGGGAAGAAGATAATGAACTTCATTTAGTTACAGTGGCGTAACTAGGGTGCCACAGCTGAGGGGGCACCTGGGGGTGCACAATTTGTTTTTCAGGGGGCACTGAAAATAATTGAACTAGGTAGATATATATTTTTTGTCCATTTCAAAATTTCAAATTTTTTGGGGGGCACGTGCAGCCCTGGGCCCCCCCGTAGTTACGCCACTATTTAGTTATGTAGAACTGACAAAAGACTCCGACACTTTTACTACAACAGTAATACCAGTTTAAGAAAACAAAGTGTGTTGTCTTTGTAAGATGTATATAAATTGGTGAACTATTAAAAATGTCATCACAGAAAAAGTTTCTGTAGCACATGAATCAAGAAACACGAGAACATAATAATAAAAACCAGTTTTACATCACACCTTTAACTAACAGAATCTGACAAAAAAGAACGTGGCTATAAAAAAATTGAAGCACAATACACAAACAACACACCTGAATTATTTTAATACAAACAAGTTATATAACCATAACCAATCTGAGGTACGTTCGGATGACAATCACTGTCACACATAATACAAGCCGAATCACTAACTTAAAAGTCTAGAATTTGCATACTAAACTCTGTGATTCATGAGAACATCTTTCCTGAACTTGCATCACCCCACGCAATGGAGTAATAAATTTTGTATTACAAATACCCTGCAATATTTCATGTAGAAAATAAATTGGATAAATCTTAATGTGAATATTAGCATTAAGAGTTTAACGCAGAAAAAGTAATACTACAAGTATTTATTGATTAATGAGTTATTCTAACCTCTTGCACTTTCCAAATGATAAGGGTATTTTAATCAAAATAAGGTTTGTCAAAGAATATCCATAAATAGTAGTTTGTGCTAGAAAAAGTTTAAGTCTTCAATGTGCAAGTACAAACCATACAATCAATTTGAGGCAAAATTAATTGCAGCTTCAAATAATTTATCACCGCGGGACATTGGAGGCTCTTGTCACTAAGTTGGTCAGTAGTGTTCACTTGCGGTTGGGCACCAAGTCAAAATAGAAACGGTTCATGAAGTGACAAACGATACAAAAAAGATAAGCTCCTTAACCGCTTCAGAGAAAAGCGGGCAACGACAGGGCATCACTAGCT